AACTTGAAACAAGCAATGCCCTCCGTGCCCTACACGCCAAATGTCTTCAGAACTTATTAGTCAGTTTTCAAACATCTCTTTGCACAGAAACAACTTCTGGTGTTCGGCCGTCTGTAACCGCCCCCCGCCCCCCACCTGCACCCGCAACCCCACCCCCGAACCCTCATTTGTCTTCCTGGAATGAATAGTATGCGCTTTCCTCCCCTCTTTAAAGCATCCTTTGGGGTTCGTGTGCTTTATTTTCCTTTGGTGATGTGACACTGTGCATAGAAAACTAGACGTTCTTACTTTGCGCTCAGGGTGTTACTCTTGGGGTGTTAGCCATGTGCGAAATGTTTATGTTGTGCCACAGATTAAGAAGGCTGACTGGAAACACAGCTTTGGCCATTTTTAGTAATGCGTAGAGTGCCAAGGGGAAACCTTGGATGTTCGCAGCTCCAGTGTGTGTGGTGTGGTTGTATTGACTGCCATTCTGTATTTAATAATCAAGGAAAGCTTTGAAAGATAAGTGAGGGCGGTGGAGGAGCCTTTTCTAAAGGAGTTAGTAGAGTGAGAACAAAAATTCCGTATTTTAGAATTGCCTGTACTTTTGCCACCTTTTCTTTTCTCAAAATAGAGATTTGTGTTCCTCTGCCCCTTCTCTCCAAACCCATTTATCATTAGAAGGGTGTGGGCCACTTCTCCCTAACCCCACCTCATCTGTGACACATGTCAGGAACCTAGGGGAAAGGTCTTCAGGCAGGTTTTTCTGGGAGTTGCTTTTGATTATTATAGACCAAGAGCATGAGTGACCATCTGAACAAGGCCCCACTGATCCTCTTTTAGAAAGTCCTGAGCTCTAAACTGACTTTCAGAAACATGTTTTCCTCTTAAATGCACCATGAGATGAAGCATACATATGCTCTTTTCTTCTCTCCTGTCCACTCTTTGGAAGACTAGAGCTTCAGAGATGTTTACCAAAAGGAAAGCAATGCTGGCTGTTTAGGTAAGAAAGCTTTGAGAGAGGCCAGAGGGCTTCTTTGAAGACCCTTATGAACTGCTCATACTAAGACTTTTTGCTTGTGGCTCAACTACAGACTAAGTACATGACCACAATATCTACTCACTAAAATTTCATAGTTAAAAGCTGCTCAACCAGGAAGGTCCAGCATCAGACCCACCTGTAATGGACCATGATTAGCACTCAGGGAACTTGAAAAGTTTGACTTTTCAAATCCTAACAGCGACAGTTCAGCATTTTATTCAGGGCTGGGCATCTGTTCTTACTGATCAGCCTCAGCAGTCTATTTTTCTGCTGCTGAGGTCCCCAAGCCTGTCTCCATCTGTCCAAAGGAGATTGATGGGGCACTTGACATTTTCCAGACAGAGCCAAGGCTAACTCCATTGTCCTGGCTGGCATTATGCATCGATATCTTTGTGGTGGACAATACCTTAGTAAATCAAATGTTCTTTTTGTATTTTCTCTTTGAATACCTCATGGGACTGTGGGACAGGTTAGAATGTCTGTTTGCACTGTTCTTTTTCTACTGTCTCTTTGACTTTGGAAATTCTGGCCAATTGGGGAGCTCCACTGAAGTGGTGCTGGTAGTAAAAACCTAACATCTTGGCTAATCATTGCTGGTGAACTGATAATTAAAAGCTGTTGGGTGGCTAGGATGCTTGCCTGTTAACCTGGGAGAAAATTAACCAGACAACATACCAAGGACAGTGCTGTAAATTTTCTTTTGTTCCCTGAACTTTTTATAAAGAACATTCTTTCTCAAGATGGGGCAGTGGTTAGAATCATGTGATCGCATAGCTAACATGTCACTTTTTACTTTGACAGGGTTTTATCTGGTACTTCCTCTGTGCAAAGCACAATACTAAAAAAGTATTACATCCTTTTGGTGTGTTGGTATTAAAAGATAGTGATGTGGAACACCCCTGAGTGTCTATCCTTTCTTGCTATTAGTATCTCTACATTTTCTTTGTGAGGTTTCATGGCACATCTGTGCATATACTTACATAGCATCAAATGAGTTATTGCTTTCTAGGTTGGAAATGTTTTTTTGCTTATCACCATTCTCAAAAGGGATAATCTATGAACAAGTCAGCATATCTGGAATTGGAGGTGAATTGGAGGCTTAGCAACTCTTCTATAAATGGGATGTTTTATGTGCAAGAATATTTTAAAATATATAAGGATAAACTGCCAAAATTACCTGTACAGTCTTGAAAAAAGAGAGTTCAAATGTAACTATAAACTGTAATTGTCTATGAGTCATTTGCTTTAGGGATGCCAGCCATGAAAACAGCCTAGTTATGCCCCAGTGGTAATTATGAAAATGCCTTTTAAAAGCCAGTTGGATCTCAAATAAACTATAAGTCTATTTGGATAAAATTTTCATTTCTACTTATTTAAAAAAATTATCCAATTAACAGTTGGAAATGCCATTTTCTACCCACACAGAGATAATTTTCAAAACTTAAATATTCAAATGTTTCAAAGAAACATTTGTTCTTGTAATGTGCTATAGTTGTTGTTTTGTGCCGTCGTGTTGACTCCAACTCATAGTGACCCTATGTACAACAGAACGAAACACTGCCTGGTCCTGTGCCAACCTCACATTGCTTGCTACGCTTGAGCCCATTCTTGCGGCTACTGTGTCAATCCATTGAGGGCCTTCCCCTTTTTCGCTCATCCTCCACTATACTGAGCATTATATCTTTCTCCAGGGAATGGTCCCTTCTGACAATGTGACCAAAGTAGGTGAGATGAAGTCTGGACATTCTCATGTCCAAGGAGCATTCTGGCTGCACTTATTCCAGGACAGACCTGTTAGTTCTGTCAGTCCGTGGCACTTTCAGTATTTTTCATCAACATCACAACTCAAAAGTATCAACAAATTTTAGGTCTTCCTTATTCATTGTCCAGCTTTCACATGCATATGAGGTGATTGAAAACACCATGGCTTGAGCTATGCACACCTTAATCTTCAAGAAACATCTTGCTCTTCAGCACTTTAAAGAGGTCTTTTGCAGCAGATTTCTTGTAACATAGAGATAATTCAATATACAGTCACTAAGTGTTGAAAAAAGACAAATCTCTCACACCTCATAATTTAGAAACAGGGAACGGAAATATTAAAGGTATGTTTCTAGCAGCCAAGGGTAACTTGGCATTTTGTTTATAAACCTAACTCATATTTTAAAGCAAATATAACGCCTGTGAAAATAAAGGGAAATCATTTGTACATATGACACCAGTTTGTTATTGCTCTTATAATAGCTATGCCACAGGCATCTTGGTAAGAACTTTACATGTATTAGTTTATTTTTATACAAAGCAGTGAATATATTCTCATATTATAGATGAAGATGCTGAAACATAGGTTAAATAGCCCATCAAGGAAGCTGCAGAACTGAGATCTGAGAAAAAACAGTCTAGAATTTTTACCTTTTCATCCCAAAACAATCCTCCCTTCATATGCACGCATGCATGCAATGCCATTGAGTTGGATCCAACTCGTAGCAACCCCTCCTTGGGTTTCCGAAGCGGTATCACTATGGAAGTAGACTGCCCGCCCAACCATCCTTCTGAGGAGTGGCTGGTGGGTTTGAACTGCCAGCCTTCTCATTGTGTAACATTTGAATGAGTGATACTGGTTTACTCCATAGTGTTATTTGACCAATTTGTCTTTGTAAGTGGGCTTTGGTAATTGATGCTGTCAAAGGATAAGTACACTCAGAAGTCCAGTAAAAAGTCCCTACATTTGGCACTTTGTGATCTGGAGGAAGCAGTCCCTTTTTCACACTTCCACCTAGTCTTGACACTCACTTGGCAGCCTGCACGGGATAGCTTCCTCTACTTTCCACTTATCTGTTTTCACATATAAAGAAATGTAGTTGTTTTGATCCCAGTTTTTCCACCAGGTCCATCACAACCCAATGCCACATTTTTTTTTTTTAATTTAATAAAAACACAGATCCCCCCCCCCCATATAAGTTATTGACTGTGTGGATAAGAAGAGGTCTCTTCTTAGTGAATAGTCTTGCAGAAGCAGCAGAACGTCTGTGTGTGTGTGTGTGTGAAGAAAGCTCTGGTGGTTTCCAAAGAGTGATTTAATTAGAATCAAAACGATAGCAGTGGAAGGGATGAGAGAGGTCTTTTAAAGTACCCCAGCCTCCTGATTTTACAGATTAGAAAACTGAAGTCTAGAGAGGCAAAGGTACTCATCTAAAATGGGAAATAATAAAGCTTCATTTAGAGCTGCAGCCATTAATCTTGACATCTAATGTTCTTTTCTCTAATGCTGAAGGAAGCCACATCACCAATTAGAGCAAGAACATGATGACCCTGACTCCAAGGAAATGAGTTAGGGCATTATTTTGCCATCTCCAAATGCCTTGCCTACTGTGCACAAGATGGAAGATGCCTTTTGACCCAGTGATTGGTAGGGGACATGCCCATACTGGGGAAAGGCAGGGTCACTCATGCCTTACATTTCAGCAGTTTGGACAACTTTCCCTAGGACTAGGCATCCATTGCCTGAAGAAAAGGGACCAGTTAGTGAGCAAGTAGTTTATTCATGGAATGAGCAATAGTTGCTGAACATGTAGTGGATTCTCAATAAATATGTGCTTTATAGTTTAAGAAAAGGTTTCAAAATTGGGCTTATCATTACTTCTTTGACTGTGTTTCCAGGTAGTTAAATTTGGTTGATATTTAAGACAGTATTCATCTCTTTTCATGTACTTCTGGATGTGTTGACCTTCATTCATTTTAATATCCAACTGATACAGGAGGACCTTATAGTTGCTTCTGAAGGAAGAAGCTATACTAATTTTTCTTTATACTGATTTTAAAGTTGTTTTATCTTTGTAGATTTGGAAGATGACATGAAGTACAATTGCCTTTTTTTCTGGCAGAAGACGCATGGGTGAAAAATATGACACAAGTTTGATGTTTGTGTCTGCTTTCCCAAGGTCAAGAAATTACCTTCTTAGAAGGCAACAGTACTATGCATGTTACAAATTGTGTCTCCTTGGTCAGTGATAAGGAAAATGGGAATGTCGCCACAGCAGCTGGATTAATGATCGGGCAAACACCACCACCAGTGTCTCCTCCACCTCCTCCTCCACCCCCTCCACCTCCACCATGTCCATTTTCAGGGGAAGGGTTTCTTTCCTCTCCTCCTCCTCCTCCACCCCCTCCACTACCTGGGGGACCTCCTGTCCCACCTCCCCCTCCAGGACTGCCCCCACCTTCTCACATGAATGGATATAGTCCCCTTGGGAAAAAGAAGCGGATGAGAAGCTTTTTTTGGAAAACCATTCCAGAGGAGCAAGTTCGTGGCAAAACTAACATCTGGACTTTGGCAGCCAGGCAGCAGCATCACTATCAGATCGATACAAAGACCATCGAGGAGCTCTTTGGGCAGCAAGAAGATACCACTAAGTCTTCCCTTGCTAGGAGAGGAGGAACTCTAAATTCATCCTTCAGGGACGCTCGAGAAGAGGTAAGAATGAGACATGGAAAGATAATCCTCTACAGACTGCACTGTGCATACATTTTTAAAAAAAAGTTGTTAGACTTAGAAAAGAGATGAATGCAAGTGAATGTGCTCTGGAAATGATAGTAATGGCCTGATGTGCTGGGCTTTAGCTGAATATTGAAAATGTATAAAAAGTGTGCATGCCGCATTTTCCCAGACATCCCTGTGGATTATGACCTCACGTGGAGAACATGCTGCTTGGGGGCCATTGCTCTTTGGCCTCTCAGCCCTATCCTGTCTCTAGCACATCTGTGTGGTTTCCCCTGGTGGGGAATTCTGCTGAAGTCCATTATTGTTAATCTGTTGAAACAAAAACTTGAGTTCCTGAACTAGATTGGTTAGCTATAAAAAATGCCTTTTGCTAAACATCATCAACTCATACACATCCTACAGATTTTATCCTTATTTTCCCCTCCAGTTTTCCTTCAACATTCCTTGATTCCTCAGATCTTTGAACTAAATTATGGTCATTGTGGAACAGAGATTTCCAGAGAGCCAAAGCATGACTCCATTTCCAGAGAGACTTTATAGAGTGGTATATTTCCCACTTAATACTATATGTATTGTTGTTGTTGTTGTTATGTGTTGTTGAGTCGGCCCCGACTCACAGCCACCCCTCCTTGGGTTTCTGAGGCAGTATCACTACAGTAGTAGATTGCCCAACCTTCCTTCCAAGGCGTGACTGGTGGGTTTGAACCATCAGCCTTCTGGTTAGCAGTAAAGTGCCTTAGGCACTACGTTACCAGAGCTCCTACTAAACGTGTTACTTTAAGAAAAAATAAACTAGCAATTTATAAGAAGTTAACAGAGAGCAGAACCCCAGAGCTAAAAACAATCATATATTAGGGAAACTGAGTAAGAAATTGCACTTTTAAGTACTCTTAGGTTAGAAACATGAAAATAAAGAAACCTCCACTTGCTAGAAGAAATAACTAGGAAGTAAGGGATTAAAAGGAAAGAATGCTATGTGTTCTTGTGTGCGCATGTGTACACAGGTATCTGTGTATGTGCGCATATACACACATGCACAGAGACAGAGATCCATCATTTTTTAAAATCTGTTGCAAGGGAGCCAAGAAAATAGGTCAAAGATGGAATTGACTAGATAAGGGAATGGGCAGGGCCCTGGAATGAAGAAGTAGCTCTATGCATTATTGAATTCTTGAGCCAACGATATTGACCTCCTTTCTCATTCTGGCTGAGGAACATGTTAACTCCTTCTCTCCATCCATTCACTTGGTTGTATGAGCCCCTGTCAAAGTAGCCAAGAGTCTATTTATTACAAAGTACAGAGAAGGTTGGTGGGCAGGGAGTTTAAGTTAATGGGAGTGAAACAATTAAAAGAAATATTGAGAATGTTGGCACAATGTGAAGAATGTAACCAGTGTCACTGATCATTATGTCTAGAAACTGGATTTGGGAGCAGATTTTGCTCCAAGAATAAAATATTAATTAAAAATATAAAATGCAGAGAATACTGGGATTAGAATTGTTTAAGTGAGAACTATGAAATAAATTTGAGGAGGAAATCTTCAGGAGAAGCCTGAAATGCCTTCCAATTCTGAATATAGGCTGTACCTGTCTTTTTGACAGAGACCTTTTTTCTTCCTCCTTCAAATATCCTTCCAGTATTAGAAGGAGCAATAAATCATTTCCTTAGTATCCTGGCCTTTGCCCCAGCTTCCAGCAGAGATTCGTTATTGTACAGTAGGTCATTGTTAACCATTGTCTGCTACTCATTTGAAATACAACAATATTGAAGGAAAGATTGAAGGAATGTATGTGGAACTATATATCCCAGAAATGCACCTATAACAGAAGATACACCTATCATTTCCCTGGGAGGCATTGGCCACATTAAAATGGTAGCATCCTCTGTGAAGTATGGAAATTTATTTTAAAAAATGATTCTTTAAGGGCCTACAGGCAATTTGTTGCTTTATGTTTATGAATTAAAGAGAGGTTAAGAATCACTCAGGGAGGGAGGGAAGTAGAAGGAGTGTGGTGGCATGTTTTTACAGCTCTGGCAAAAATGAAAGTATCCATTTTCTTTTTTTAAAATAATAATAATAATAATGTCTTTCCCCTCAACTCCCTCCATTCCTGCACCCAGCTGATCTGAGCTTAACACTTACAGGCCTGATCTGAGAGACAACGTACTAGAAAGACGTATTAAATCACCATGATTGTGTCTTAAAACTGATCTAACTCTCCCACTTGTTAATATTCAGATTATGATAAGTAGTTTAGTTAGTTTTGGGTGATATTGTTATATAACAGAGGTTATCTAGAATTATTTTCAGTTTCTCCTGCTATGTCCAACATGGGTAGACATATCATACATACTTTTTTCAGTAAAGAATATGTTGTTGTTGTTGTTGTTGTGTGCCGTTGAGTCGGCCTCAACTCATAGCGACCCCTCCTTGGGTTTCCGAGGCAGTATCACTACGGAAGTAGGATTGCCCAACCTTCCTTCCGAGGAGTGGCTGGTGGGTTTGAACCGCCAGCCTTCTGGTTAGCAGTCAAGTGCTTTAGCCACTATGCTACCAGAGCTCCCGTTGTTGTTAGGTGCTGCCAAATTGGTTCTGACTCATAATGATCCTTGAGTCATCCTCACAATACTTGCCATGCTTGAGCCCATTGTTGCAGCCACTGCGTCAGTCCATTTCATTGAGGGTCTTCCCCTTTTTTGTTGATCCTGTACTTTACCAAGCATGATATCCTTCTCCAGGGACTGATCCCTTCTGACAGCATGACCAAAGTAGGTGAGACAGAGTCTGGCATTCTCACTTCTAAGGAGCATTCTGGCTATACTTTTTCCAGGACAGGTTTGTTTGTTCTTCTGGCAGTGCATGGTATTTTTAGTAGTCTTCGCCAAAAGTTTATAGTACATGGTATTTTCATTTCTTAGTAGATTTTCTTCTAAAGAAGTTATATCTCAGTAGAGTCATAGTCTAATAGGGATCAGTAATAAATCTGCCATCTCACTCTCTAGTAAGTAGAGTCCAGGGTTGAAAGTAGTAGTCCTCACCATCTGTCCTTGTGGCTTGGAGAATGCCCTAAACAGCATGTTCAGCAGAGGAACAGATCTGGTGCCTGGAAACATGGCATCAACATTTTACAACACAGGCTATAATTCTGAAGGTTCAAACATACCGAAGATCAGATTACATCCCCTTAAAATATAATAACCTTCTATAGAGATGGGCTGGCATTATGTGGTTGGCTTATACTTTAAAGGACTTATAAATTATTACAAATAAGTTCCATTATACTCCTAAAGAAGGAGTTGTTGGAAGATAGGGGAGATTGGGGCTTGGGAAGGGCTGAACTGAGAAGGAGCAATACTTGAAACATTAAATTAAAACAATTAATAGGGAAAACAAAAAACCTATAAAATGTTATTATCCTTATATCTTTGTTACCTAAAAATTACCTTGAAGAGACTACAGTAATAAAGTAAAAAAAAATTACTGTAATAAAGTAATTAGAAATAGAAAAGATATATTACTGAAGATGAAAAAGCAAAAACAAAAAAACGGTTCAGCTCAAACTCCACCTTCTTTTCAGAGTTCTCTGATCTCATCCTCTGAAGTTATATTGTTCCCTGTGCATCCATTACCAGTGTTCCTCTGTCCTCCTCAGAGACCCACACTAATGTTGGTTGCGTCTGTATGTGTCTCATTCTACCGTAGGGTCAGGGCCATGTCTAGACATTTGTTATCCTCCAAAGAAAAGTAAATGCAACTGAACTGGACAACATTGAACCAAAGGACAAAAGGTCTTTCAAGGTATCCAAAGATTGTATTTGGGATTCAAGAGGAAACACAGATGCTAACAGTTGAAGTCATTTACTATGATGACAGTGGCAATATTACATTTACCAGATAGGAAATAACTAAAATTGCTTATTCGAAAAAAAGGAAGGGAGAGAGAAAGGGAGGAAGATTGGTTTTGCTATGTTTATGAGAAATTATGTTTTCTTTTCCTTCATGATAATTCAGTTATCAATCTTTCCCAACTTTTATTATCATCCCATTGGTTATGGAATTAGGGGACATGATCACAATTCACAGTTATATAACTAGATAGAATATTTAAAGTACATTTTAAAAAAATACACTTGAATTGAATTTTCATTTCTTTCTTCAGAGTGGAGGTAGGGACAATTTCCAGTTGACAGGCAACCACCAATTTAAAAATAGAAAAACCACCCCAAACCCAAAGCTAAGTCCATGTTGGAGGCTACAGGAAGATTGATTTGCTTTTCAGAATATAAGTAGGAATAATGTCTCTAAGCAGGTAAAGAAGCCCTCTTTAACATACTGAAATGAATGTGCTTTAAACAGTTTTCTTCTTCCTTTAAAGGACATGAAAGGCAAATTTTGAGGTGGATTGGCACTAGGTGAAGGAATAAGAATTGTAGGGGAAGAAACTAGAAGAGCTTGTTTGAAAATTTTAGGGAGAGGGCAGTGCAGCCATTCCCACACCCTCTTCTAAGGAGCACAATCCTTCTGTCTCAATGCTTTCAAGAGCCACTAAACCTCTAGCCACCTGTCAGTCTGTGGGGTGACTGTTACCTCTCACATCCTAGAGGGGAGTCCTTGGATTGAGTTGAATGCATTACCTTACATTTTAGAGCCTCTGTTCACCATGAATGGGTTAACTCTGGTGGGAGAATTCAGGTTTATAATGGAAGGAGCCGTGGTGGTGCAATGGTTAAGAACTCAACTGCTAACTGAAAGGCTGGCAATTCGAATCCACCAGCACACTCCTTGGGAAAAGACGTGTTGATGTGCTCCCATAGAGCTTACAGTCTAGGGCAGTTCTACCCTGTCATTTTCAGTCATGTGAATCGGAATTGACTCAATGGCATATGGTGGAAAAGCGAGTCAACCCTGTAGTCCGTTGACTTTGTCTACTGGTGACACTGACTTCAGTGATGGTCCTGCCTGCAAATCCTGGTGTGTCCAGAAGAGTGGATGATTGATTGGGAGGGGAAGGAGGGGGAGGCACAGGCTCATTCATTGGCCAGGTTGGTTCATCCTTATTCCTGTTCTTCACAAGGGAAAGGGGCGGTGTCTATGACTTCCAAGCTTAGGCAGCCAGGGAGTCTCCCAGGGATTCCATGGGCAGATTCCATGGCTCTGAATAATTCCAAAGCACTACCCAATCCCACACAGATTCCTTTCTCAATTGCCCAGCTTTGAGTCTGCAAGCATTTGAGAAGTAAGATAAGCTAATTTGCATATGTAGTGACAACCCTCTTTAAAAGACTTTAACAATCACCTTTTAATACTGCTTTAGAAGGATCAAGTGCAGTAACTGTGATAAAGAGGCCTAGGGAGATCAGAAAAGAGTGGGGCTGTCCTCAGGTTATCAGTTGTTTTATTTTCTTTTGTTTGGACAAGATGCTGGGCTTTCTTTTCCCTGTAAGGTGCTTGGTCATAGCCAGCCCAGGTTTTTCCTTAGGGGGATATTAATGACTTCTTTAAATTGGTGAGTGGATTCTGAGACCCTGCTTCAAGCTGTGGAAACAGCAGCTTTTTCAGGTGATGGCTGCCTCTTTGTTGAATGTGATGCTATGCTCTTGTAGGACTGAGGAAGTCCTTAAGCTTGTGGCAGATGTCTAAGCTGTTGAGAAAATTATTTCTATCCATCATCCCACAGATGCAAGTCTAGGGTCACCAGGGGACTTGGCCATGCACTGTGGATGGCTTTCTACAAAGCTGCCCCATTCCTAGAATAAACATTCCCATATGAATATTGCTGGTGGAGGAACATTGCCACGTTTATAGGAAGCTTAACAATATTAAAACTCACAGGAAACAGAGTCAGGAGCAATCAGAGAGACCCATGCTAGCATTTCAACTCCAGTACTGCTTTGGGCAATTTGAAAAATGACATTGGAGGTTCAGTTTCCTTATCTGTCAAATAGGGATGATAAGAATAATTTCTCCATTACTTTTCCAGCAACAATTGTGGACCTAGGCCAATGCACAAAGTGTCCCAGAGAATTGATGGATGTGGTTTAGTGCTTACGGCATTTAACTGCTACCCAGAAGGGTGGCGGTTTAAACCCACTAGCCACTCCTCGGAAGGAAGATTGGTTGGGCAATCTACTTCCATAGAGAAACTAAAAGCAAACCAAACTCACTGCTGTTGAGTCAGATCCGACTCATAGTGAGCCCTCCTTGGGTTTCCGAGGCGGTATCACTACTGAAGTAGATTGCCTAACCTTCCTTCCGAGGAGTGGCTGGTGGGTTTGAACTGCCAGCCTTCTGGTTAGCAGTCAAGTGCCTTAGGCACTATGCTACCAGAGCAATACTGCCTCAGAAACCCAAGGAGGGGTTGCTATGAGTCGAATCAACTCAACAGCAGTGAGTTTGGTTTTCTGTAGGGTGACAGGACTTGGAGTGTGTGGGTGTGTAAGAGAGTGCTATAGTCAAGGGTTAAATATAAAAGGAAGTGGCACTTTAATGAGAGAGAAAACAAGTTATTTCTCCTTTCTAGATAGAAGAGAGTGAACAGCAAGTTCTTTCGTATGTATATTGATAAATCAATATACACATACTTGTGTATGTGTGTATATATACAATATACTTGTGGCCTTCTAATTTATGAATTATAATAAACACATAGTTTTCTGTCCTAAGAAATTTAGATTCCTCTTTGCAGTGTGAGGTTTCCTTGTTAAAGGGTGTTAAGTTTGACGGGTTTTATTCTCACCCTTTCTTTTCCTCCTTCTTCCCCCTCCTTTCACACTGAACTTGAACTGAAATCCCTGGGTAGGATTCCAACAAGGAGTCTGTCCTTTTAGCTTGTGAGTTTATTTTATGGCTGGCAGGTGATTGTGTTAACATGAAATGAACCCCTGGGTTAGTAAATAATGTGGTTATTTAAGATTAGTCTTCAAAAGAAGACAACCGTACTCTTGTAAAAATTTAACCTTATAGCCAGGAAGTGACATTAACATTGGTTAGCAGTCTTGCTGCTTCTAAGCATTCTTATAAACTTAGAAGCAGGCACAGAGATCAGGAATTTAGTCTGAAACCCGATTCCCTTTTGTTCACAATGAATAACATACATTTGGAAAGGAAGGACATTATAACAACATTCCTATTTTAGCTAGTCTCCCTTTACCAAAAAACAAATGGAAAAAATTGCAGCAGTTTTAACGTTATCTTTCTTCCATACATCCTGAATATTTACTTCTAGAGAAATAAAAGGATTTTTTTAAAAAAGAAAAGTTCAGTATAATTCCTAGGCTGAGAAGCAGTAAAAATGTGGCAATCAAAATCTGGGTTTTGATGGCTCATTAGAATAGGACCATATTTCATTAAAACTAGGATGCTGTACGTTGTGAGATACATCCTAATTCCCAAGATATTAAAGTGTAAAAAATATGCATCTTAGACTTGGTGAAATATAACATAAGTTTTTCTTTTTTAATCCTGAGTGAATAAAATATAGGACAATTTCTTCTTCCTAAAAGTGCTATTGGACATATATTTCCTTTTTCAATTATATGAGAGTTTGCTTTTAGAAAAAAATTGAGGATTTTATGACCTTTCTGAAAATGATAAATGTCCTTTTATATCACTAAATTGGGGTTGGGACTCATTTTGCAATATCTTTATAGTTTTTTTTTTTTTTTTTTTTTCGCAGTTTAAGTTGTATATGATTCTTGCTAGGCTAATGAAATGCATCTATTTCCAAATTGTGGCTTTTAAGGATGGGCTATATTATTCTAAGGTGGAAATTGTTAAATTAAAAAAATTTCAATGCATATATATTGAAAATTATATATTAAAACATAATTATTATAGTTAAGCTAAATATAATGAAGGAAGTTGAGAAGATAATATTTTGATTTACTTTAATATTCATAAAATTACAGTAGGTATTTCTATTATCACCAGATTTACAAACTGAGAATTACTTTCTTATAAATTAGTTTTGTACTTTGATAGGTTTTAATTCTCTTCTTTTCTCCAACTCTTTTTTTTTATGTGCTGTAATAAACTTGTCTGCCTGTATTTTTTTTCTAGATTACTATCTTGGATGCAAAACGGAGCATGAACATTGGGATATTTCTCAAGCAATTTAAGAGGTAAGATTTTTGCATATGTATGAAACTTTGGTTATACCCATGCTGTGAGTATCATAGGGGTGTGACTGAGCTGAAACTTAGATTCTAATATGAGTAAAAATCATTCCTCACACATTCAAATCCTTCTTAGAGGTGTTGTTGTTGTTATTATGTGCCATTGAGTCGGACCCAACTCATAGTGACCCCTCCTTGGGTTACCAAGGCAGTATCACTACTGAAGTAGATTGCTCCATCTTCCTTCTGAGGAGTGGCTGGTGGGTTTGAACCGCTAGCCTTCTGGTTAGCAGTCAAGTGCCTTAGGCACTATGCTACCAGAGCTCCTTCTTAGAGGCATGGCTTGTTCAATCTGTTAGAGTCTTTCACTTTCTGCTGTTTTCCTTCATAAAAATATTATTTAGTGGCTTCAAGTATAGCAAGAATTGCCTGGGGGGTGTCCATTCCAGCATTATGTCCGGGAATTTATAGATTCATCTTTAGTTGCCCCTTGAGTATAGAATGGAAGGGATAGGGCTCTGTGGGAGCTCCAGTGAGACCAAAGTATTTTTTTTTCTCTTCCCAAAAGAGTGTCTCAGTGGTCCTTGCTGCTTTCAACCTTTCTGGGATGCCCGAGGATGGTTTTCTGAGTGAAGGGGTCTCTGAGTATTCCGGGTCCCATGTATTCCTGGCAGTGGTGGTGGTGTGAGCATTGACCATAAATTGCCCATCAGGCTGGGAAGAAGGTGGGATGGCAAAGAAGGTGGAGGTGTTTGCATTTCTACGGGCTTGTATCTCTATAGGCACTCCAGCAAACGTGAAATGAAATCTGATTATCTTTTCAAGGTCTCCTCAGTCCATTGTAGAAGATATCCATCAAGGCAAGAGTGAGCACTATGGATCAGAAACACTGCGAGAGTTTCTTAAGCTTTTGCCAGAGTCTGAAGAGGTAAGGAATTTGGCACTTGAGTTTTAGCTATTAGGAGTGATGATAAAAGCTTAATATTTTCCGGAGTGTCAAAACTCACATTGGAAAGGCACTATCCAGAGCCCTGAATTTTCTCATGTAAAAGTGGAAAAGTGACTCACTAGAATGAGTACAGGTTATGGAGTCAGAGTCAGAATCTAGGTTCAAATGTGAACTGTACCCTAAACTGAGAAACATGAGCAAGCTTCTTAACTCCTGTGAACTTTAGTTTCTTCACCTGTAAAGTGAGGATAATGATGCTTACCTCATTGCATTGTCAAGGTGATTAAATCCTAGTTATACATCTAAAATGGTAGTTGGCACATGGGAGCTTAATAATTTTAGTTCCCTTTCTCACCTCTAATGATGATCTTCTTTGCCTCGGGTGAACCTGGGTTATTTTGTAATACGTAGATTTTTTAAAAAAAAAGAAAACACTTTTTGGTTGCTCTAAAAATTGGAAGAGGTGGTTAAACTGTTAGTAATGTTGTCAACACAGTTGACTAAAGACCAGAAATTTCTATTATAGTAATACAGTAAACCAAAAGTCCAAACTCACTGCCATCGAGTTGATACCGACTCATACCGATCCCCTTTGGGTTCCTAAGGCAGTAAATCTTCAAGAAAGTAGATTGCCCAGTCTGCCTTCTGGTTAGCTGGTGGGTTTGAACTGCCAACCTTCTGGTTAGCAATCAAATGTCTTAGGCACTATGCCACTGGAGTTCCCTTAATTTGGTCCGGGGAAAAAAAAGTCAATATTTTTTTTTTTTTAATGCATTTTATTGAAACATAATTTATGTACAGTGAAATACACAAAACTAAAGTGACATGGGGTCAGTGCATTTTTTTTCTTTTGCAGTGTTCCCTCCTCTCCCCTTCCACCCCCGGCAACCAACAAAGAACATTTCCCTCCATATATAAACTTTTCCTTGACCCTCCACAACAACAAACTAATAAATTGACTTATTTCACTCAGCATAATATCCTCCAAGTTCATCCATATTATGCGGTCTTTTGCAGACTCTACATTATTCTTTAGTGCTGCATAGAATTCCATTATGTGTATGTACCATAGTTTGGTCATCCTCTCTTCTGCTGATGGGCACGTAGGTTGTTTCCATCTTTTTGCTTTTGTAAATAGTGCTGTGATGAACATGAGTGTGCATATATCTGTTCCTGTCCTGGCTCTCACCTCTCTAGGATATATACCTAGTAATGGTATTGCTGGGTCAAATGGCATCTCCGATTACAGTTTTCTAAGGAATCGCCATATTGCTTTCCACAGCGGTTGTATCACTTTACAGTCCCACCAGCAGTGTATGAGAGTCCCAATCTCTCCTCATCCCCGCAAGCATTTGTTATTTTCTGTCTTGTTGAACCTTGCCATCAGTGCTGGGGTGAGATGGTATATCTCATTGTTTGATGTGAAGGTTTATCATTTTTCTTTGAGGTTACCCTGTGATTTATAGTTTTCTTCCCAAGTTTAGAACAGTCCGTTCTATCTTGTAGTTGTCTTGACTTCCCTACCATCTAGAAGTTCTGTAATGACACATTTTTTCCCCTCTTTTTAGTTTGTAGTTGTACTCATTTGTCAATTGATGTCTCTGGTTCCCTGTTTACAATTTTGTAGGCTTATTTACTTTGGATACTTCCATAGCTGGGTTGGCTTCTGGGTTATGTCATCATGTGTGTTAATGGTCAGTTTTTGTTGGCTGTTGTTGGTTCTCTGTCCAAAGGACTCCTTTAGCATCTCTTGTAAAGTTGGTCTGGTTTTAACAAATTCCCTTAATTTCTGCTTGTCTGGAAATGTCCTAATTTCACCATCATATTTGAGGGACAATTTTCCTGGGTACATAATTCTTGGTTAGAAATTTTTCTTTTTCAGGGTTTTATATATACCATCCCATTGTCTTCTTGCCTCCATGGTTTCTGCTGAGAAATTCGAGCTTAGTCTTTTTGGTTGTCCCTTGCAGGTAACTTTTCGTTTTTCCTGTCCTGCTGTCAGGATTCTTTCTTCGTCTTTGGTTTTGGTGAGTGTGATGATGATATGTCTTGGTGATTTTCTTTTGGGGTCCTGTTTGGGGTTTGTTGGACTTCCTGAATGGATGTATTCTCATCTTTCATCATATCAGGGAAGTTCTCTTCCAACAAATCTTGGGCAATTTTCTCAGTGGTTTTATTTTTCTCTTCCTGTTCTGGAATTCCAATGACATGTAGGTTATTCCTTTTGATGGTATCCCACATGAACCTTCGGCTTTCTTCATTTTGTTTTGATCTTTCCCTTTCCAAAGAAGTATTCAGGTATTTGTCTTCAATCTCATTAATTCTGCCTTCCATTGCATCAATTCTACTCCTTTGCCTTTTCAATGTGTTAACTATTTCTGACAATTTAGTATTAATCTTCTGAATTTCTATATGTAGATTTTAAATCATCTCTAATTTTTCATTTATTTTGTAATTTGTTCTTGTATTTTCTTCCAAAATTCTTCTGGGGTTTTATCTGTGTTTTTCTTGATCTGTCTCTCATTCCTTTGAAGATACCTAAATATAATTCTTTTGAATTCCTTATCAGGGAGTTTCTATGCTGCTTCTTCCTCAGGGATGTGTTTTGGGTCTGTATCCTGGTCCCTTGTTTCTCCTGCTTTATCTTGTTTCTTTGTGTAGACTGTGATGCTCAGTTGTCCCTGAGGCATTGTTTTTGTGTTTATATTTAATTGGTGATTGTTTGTTGGAGAGACTTGCCCATGATTTTCTTTTTCTTTGTATGTTATCTACACAAGCAGGGTACTGTGCTGTGCTCCTCTATTCACTGGTTGACACCACTTATACACTTACCACCTGTCTCCTTTCCTGTTGTCAGCCTCCTGTATGTCCCTGCCAACCTTGGCAAACAGAGCCTATTCTTAGGTCTTGTTTTCATTCAGGTTTTTCCATTAGTTGGTGCCTAATCCACTTCTGTATGGTTCCTTTTAAACCTTAGGGCTCCAGGACTATCTTCTGTATCTCTGTCAATTGGTTTTTCTTTTCTTTGTTGAAGAGGGTCTGTGTTGCTTGTCTGCCTATTCCTCCATCTTACCGGAAGTCCTAATATACCAAAAAATCAATAATTTCTTATGGTATAGTAGTACAGTAGGAGCTCTGGTAGCATAGTGCCTAAGGCATTTGACTGCTAACCAGAGGGCTGTCAGTTCAAACCCACCAGCCACTCCTCGGAAGGAAGGTTGGGCAATCTACTTCCATAGTCATACCACCTTGGAAACCCAAGGAGGGGTCACTATAAGTTGGCTGCATCTCAGTGGCAATGAGTTTGGTTTTTTAAAGTAGTAATATAGTACCATAATATAACCTTACTGATTTTTTTTCTGGACCAAATTAATGGAATTGTTGAATGGTTGGAGGCTTGATAGGAGAAAACAGAATGACAATTTTATGAAATCTTCCAAAATCGTTATATTGTCCTTTATTTCTGAACAAGCAATCCTTGAAAAAATTCAGTAAGAAATTACACAAATATATGTGCTTGTACACATTTAAATAATAGAATCCTATAAAGTAAAAAGTATAAGTCCCCCTTTTGACATACACTGCTACCCTTTCCCATCCTCATCCTTCTCCTCTTCCCAGAGATAATATATGGAAACTGACTTTTAGCACCTTTAATAACAAAGAAGAGAAATTTATTTATACCTCTTCTTTTATATTGGCTAGTGTTAAAAGGTCAAGTTCAGGGTCTTAGTGGTTAACTAATACTCTTAAGTATATTTAATAACCTGAGGCTCTTTCTACCTTGAGTTTTCTGTTTGCAAATTAAATGTAATTTACCTTGGCCAAGATTAATGAATGGCATTAATTAAGATTAGTAAAGGGTCTTAAAGGAAAGGTACATTAAATCATAATTTACCCTGGATCTTACATACTGAACAGTCCTTAATCTGTCTTTTATGTAAAGAATGTGAGTTCCAAAATCTTTAATTAAGATCTATAGAATTTAATTTGAGTTGAATTTACAAAGACTTGGATGCTCATGGGTTCTTATTCCTGCTTGAGCTTTTTTCCCATGACTCTTCCATAGGACTGCTCGGTGTACACACCCACTCCTAACTGACCTCATCTTTCTGTGTGAAGATCAGATTTGATAATGTTCTTGGAAGTGCTCTGAAAGATCAGAATTTCTAACTAAATGCAAGCTAGGCACAAAGGAGCCTACCGGCTCATGCATTGGAGAGGTGGGAGATGGAATACGGTTTTCTTAATATCTTCATTTCTAACTTAAAACTCAAAGGTGATTAGGGAATGCAAAGGCTGTGGGAAACTAAATGATCTTTCAAAAAAAGCAAATTAGCTGTCAAACCTATCCCATTTTAAAGAACTGTGTGTGGGATATAATTCAAAGGGAAGACTGTTCAGGGCAAGATGACTAAAACCCACCCAAGCAATGCTCTAGTCCTGAGGCACTCTCTCACCCAGACAATTAGCTAACCCCAGAGACAGTGTCCTGCTGAGATGAAACGTTGGTGTGGGATCCTGAAATGCCCTCCCAGCTACTACTGACCCAGCCGCAGCTGTTTCTCACATCACCCTCCTGCCACAGGTCATCCTCCATGTGAATATCTGAGAAGCTTGGTCACACTTTTCTCCTTGTTTACATTACTGACTCTGGACTTCAGTGCACCACACCCTCAAACTCATCTGGGAGCTTCCTTCAGGAACACCCTGACAGTCCTCAGGGCAGCTGGGCGCCCCTCCCTAACTCTCTCCGGGGATCCTACTGTCAGAGGGAGTCTAAGTGAAAGCTGAAGCCACCTAATGAGAAATGCCTGCTGCAAGGACAAATTGTCTCTGTGGTGAGGCTTTGTGGCCTCTGGCACCACCCAGATCCAAGGAGTCTTTGGATCTCTGGGTGGAGATTGGAGGGTGAGGATGCGACCAAGGAGGAGGCAGGGCCACATAAAAGAAGTTTAGGGAGATGGCTGAAATTTGCTAATAAATGGTAAGTGTATGTGTAACCGCATGTTAAGCCTGTGGTATAACTTTCAGTGCTCATTTTTAGCTCAAGAAGGGACTAAACATTTATTGAGTACCCCCATGTTCCAAATACTCTACAGGACAAAATTAAATGAGAAAATGTATTGAAGGTGCTTAGCCCAATGCTGAGGAGCTCTGGTAGCATAGTGCCTAAGGCACTTAACTACTAACCAGAAGGCTGGTGGTTCAAACCCACCAGCCACTCCTTGGAAGGAAGGTTGGGCAATCTATTTCAGTGATACTGCCTCGTAAACCCAAGAAGGGGTCCCTATGAGTCAGGTCCGACTCAATGGCACATAACGGCAACACAACAGCCCAAAGCTTGGCTAAGTCAAGAAACTGTGGCTATTATTATTTTATGTATTTTTCCATTTAATTCTCACAAAGATATAAGATATTCCTCATTTTGCAAATGAAAAACAGGCTCATGCAGGCTGAATACGACTTGCCTAGAGCTCTGGTAGCGTAGTGTCTAAGGCATTTGACTGCTAACCAGAGGCTGGTGGTTCAAATCCACCAGCCACTCCTCAGAAGGAAGGTTGGGCAATCTACTTGCCTCGGAAACCCAAGGAGGGGTCGCTATGAGTCAGATCCGACTCGATGGCAGTGAGTTTGGTTTTTGGTTTTTAGTGTCCTGTGACTGATAGGTAATAGAGGAGCAGGTTGGAATTGATTGAACCCTGAGTTATCTGACCCCAGAGCCGATCTTTCTGCTCCACTCCACTCCCTCCCTTGAGGAAGGGAGGGCAAAGGTTGTTCTTTTCATCACCTCTGCTATCACAAAGTACTGGTGTGAGTAAGTGTCCTTTGAATAATACTATAATCTTATCAACACTCAGAAAAATATGAACTGAAACAATCCTATTTTTTCTTGAGTTCACAGCTCACAAGCTACCTTAAGGTTAATTTGTTTTCACAATTTTCTCTGCCCTCCTCCACAAATGTTTTATCTAGGATGTTTGTTCATCTCTCCTCAAATGTGTGGTTAAAACTTGCAAAGCAAGAGGGAGCCAAAAATGAAAGCCCTAGGAGTGTGCTCCAAATACGGCAAAGTGTTCGCGCACCCAGAGGTGACCTGGGTGTGAGGAGGCTCGAGGAGGAGCCAGTAGAAGGTCAAAGGAAGCTCCTTACCTTCACCCCAGCCTAACATGCCCACCCTTCTGTCTTACTGTCATGGATTCAGAGCTGTAAGGTGGTAGGAATTTTCTGTTTTCTTTAGAAGCAGATTGCATTGCCTCTTCTGAACATTTTTATGACCACTTCTCTGCCTTCATAGTCCGTTGGTGGTGCAAACATTTAACATGCTTGGCTGCTAACCTAAAGGTTAAAAGGCCTGTTGATCTGTTTCTGAAAAATCAACCGTTGAAAAGGCTATTGAACACAGTTTGACTCTTACGTACCTAGGGTCACCATGAATCAGAATCGACTCAATGGCAACCGTTTTTACCTATTTATTATTTATATTTTTTTTACCTACCATCTTGTTTACTCTGCTACCCAAATGGGAATGATAGGGAGGAAGCTCAGGGTCTTTTGGGTGGGTATGTTTGTGGGAAATTCTGCTATTTCAAGGCCATGTAAATGGAATTAGATAGAATGAAGGAGGCTTGCCCTTTAGAAGCATGATGTTGGTTATTAAGACAGAAACCCAGCACAGCCTGCGAGCATCATGATGGGAGTCACTTAGCTCAGCCAACAAAATTATGCCTAACAATGTTTAATAAATGCTTTTTGATAATGATGATGAGGATGTACAATAATTATAGGGTTTGTTCCCTTCCCTTTCTTCTCTACCACTATGAAGGTACAATAATCCCTCTTAAATGAACACAAATCTTATTTTGAAGTAAGAATTAAGAACTATATACATACTATTTAAATTCAGAAGTATCTTTCCATCACCATTCTCTTGAAATCTATAAACATTTTTAGCCCTTTACATAAGTGAAAGATATTAATCATTGCCAAGTTACAGTTTAGTCTAATGTTTAATAGAAATATTTACCGAGTTTCCTTCGCATGACCCATTCTTACGCTCTAGACTGAAAACTGTGCTGTGATTTTTCAGCAGCTTTGCGCATGCTGCACATATGGTCTTATAAAAGGTACAACCTCACTGTGCCCCTGCCCATATATAGTGAATTGTTAAACTGTAGTTCAGAAGGGATCAGAACTCATCCGATGATTTTCTTAGTTCAGAAAGTAGGCACTGATTTGGGTTTAGCTAAATTGGAAATTCCATCTGCCCATATTTAGTAAAGCAGAAAATGGTAAGCTCACTCTTGGACCCTGAAGTTAGGGGAAATAATGCAATTCCATACATGACTATTTTCTGCCCATTTAAAAAAAAGTAGTCTTAAGGGCCATATTTAATACTAAGGTGTGAATTTACACTATTGCATTTTTTATTTTCAGATAATTAACATATTTCAGTTTCTGGATCTTTTCAAATACTCTCTCCTTTGTTTTTTAAGTGCTGCTTCCTATTTTTCAAGAGACTTAAAAATCATGTTTTTTTTTTTTTTATGGGAAAGAGAGTAGGCTTTCTAAAGAATAATAAAAAGTAGAAAGTGCTGGTTGGCAACAGTTAGCTGTAACAATACCCACCCACAGCCATTGAGTCGGTTCTGACTCATAGTAGCCCTGTAGGACAGAGTAGAACTGCCCCATAGGGTTTCCAAGGCTGTAAATCTTTATAGAAGCAGATTGCCTCCCCTTTCTCCTGCAGAGCGGCTGGTGGGTTTGAACTACTGACCTTTTGGTTAGCAGCTGAATGCTTTAACGACTATGCCTCTAGAGCTCCTTGTTGTATAATTTACTAGTATTAAGGTACTACTTATATAAGGTATTTTTGTTGGCTAATTCGCTATTACAGTGGACTTAAATTGGATTAATCCAGTTTTCTATGTGAGAACTTTTTCTGTGGGATGTGGAGACCTCTTTGCCCCATATCCACCTGCTAGCTGTTTGGCTGTATATCTGTGTCAGAACTCTTTTTTTTTTTTTTTCCCCTTTATTACAGTTGAAGGAATCTTTGTATATGTTTAATAACTTTAAGTTTAGTTTAATTATTTACAAGAGAATTAAGTACATTTTCATTGTAAACCTTTTAGGAATTAAAAATGAGTTTAAAAAAAAAAAAAACAGCTTATTGCCATCGAGTTGATTCTGATCATAACGACCCCCTTTGGATTTCTGAGGCAGTGAATTTTTACAGAAGTAGATTGCTCAGTCTTCCTTCCATGGAGTGGCTGGTGGATGAACTGCCAACCTTCTGGTTAGCAGTCAAATGGCTTAGGTACTATACCACCAGAGTGCCTTTAAAAAAATGAGTAGGAGAGGAAAATAATAGTCAACTATAGTCCTATCACCTGGTGTATGTATGGCCTTTATGTCTTCTTCCTGTGTATGTGGCATATGCATGGGAGGCCTGGAGGGACAATACAAAAAGAAAAAAGAAAAAAAATTGCCATCGAGTTGGTCCCAACTCATAGAGACCCCTCCTTGGGTTTCCAAGGTGGTATGTCTATGGAAGTAGATTGCCCAATCTTCCTTCTGAGGAGTGGCTGGTGGGTTTGAACCACCAGCCTTCTGGTTAGCAGTCAAAAGTGGACCGAAATGGTGTCTTAAGGTCCATACTGTTTTATTACTTGCTCTTTTCTTAAGGGGAAATCTTGATATTGATCTTTCGGTTGTTTATCACTTTTACTTTTTATGTTCCTGCTGGAGAGCCAGAGCATACTTGCCTCAAGCTACAGTAGTCCCTTCCTATGAATCTATTATATGTGAAGTAGAATTGGACAGAGAGGAGATCTATCTTAGACCTTATCCAGTCTAAGTATTTTACATACAAAATGCTCAAAGTAATAGCATTTCTTTCACTTGAGACTCAGTGATCAGACTCTTCTTTCTTCTCCTAAACAATGATCTCCCCTTCCAGATTATTACTAGAAAAAAAATGTCATCTTTAGGACTGGTCTTTCTTCAGTCCCTCTCTTTAGTAACATCCCTGAGGATTCTAGTGGCTTCAGCTCCCTGACTTGTAGGGGACTGAGCCCTGGTGGTGCAGTGATTAAGCATTTGGCTGCTAACAGAAAGGTCATTGTGGTTTGAACCTACAAACCACTCCGCTGGAGAAAGATGTGGCCATCCGTTTCTGTAAAGATTCCTCCCATGGAAACCCTATGGGGAAGTTCTACTGTCCTGTAGGAATCAACTCTATGGCAACAAGTGCAGGTACATCTCTACCCATATAAGTGACATTAGCTCCTGTCTTTCAAATTTATGAGTTTTTTTTTTTTTTTTTTTTTTTTAAAGAAATGGGTAAGTGTGATGATTTTCTTTACTGTTTTGGGTCTCCATTTGTATTCATTTAATTTAGTACTGAAGTCCTGTTTTCTTAGATGAATTCTGAAATAAAATTTAGAATAATCTAAACTTTTAATCCTAAATTATTTTTTTTTCTCTGCCTCCTTCTCATTTGTCTTTCAGGTAAAGAAATTAAAAACATTTAGTGGAGATGTGTCCAAGCTGTCACTGGCAGACTCCTTTATGCACTACTTAATCCAGGTGCCAAAGTAAGGACACAGTCTCTGATCATTGTTCTACACAGAGCATGATTTTTAAATTACTGACGTTCAATTCTACAGTTTTGTTTAAATTTGCTTTCCAGCTATTCACTTCGGATTGAAGCCATGGTCCTAAAGAAGGATTTTTTACCTTCATGTTCTTCTTTATACACAGACATAACAATTTTAAGAACTGCTACAAAAGGTAAGTTAACAGATGATCTTACATGCATTTGCTTTTATTAATTGCAGTAACAGTTTGTTGAAAAGACAATTCAATTAAAATTAGAAATGCAAAGTCTCATTTATGATACTCCCTAAAAAAATATGTGAGATGTTACCAGGGTTTATTTCTATTTAAGACACTTGACTGCTAACCAGAAGGCTGGCAGTTCAAACCCACCAGCCACTCCTCAGAAGGAAGGTTGGGCAATCTACTTCTGTAGTGATACTACCTTGGAAACCCAAGGAGGGGTCGCTATGAGTCAGATCCAATTTGATGGCACATAACAACAACAACAGCTAAATTTTAATTTACATGTTATCCTTCCATCAAAGGTTTCTTCTGTCTCAAGCTTCAGAGTAGACTTGTTGTTAGTGGCTCTTTCTTGCTCCTCTCCTGGGCTAGCTTTCTGTTTGTGTGGTGTGTATAGGGGGGAGTACATACACCCAGAATGGAAGCATTGGTTCAGTGGTAGAATTCTCACCTTCCAGGTGGGAGACCTGGGTTGGATTCCCGGTAAGTGCATCTCACACACAGCTACCACCATCTGTCATTGGGGGCTTGGGTGTTGCTGTGATGCTGAACAAGTTCAGTGGAGCTTCCAGACTGAAACAGACTAGGAAAAAAGGCCTGGCAGTGTACTACTGAGAACTGGCCAATGAAAACACTGTAGATCCCAATGGTGCTTTCTGCAGCCAATCATGGGGATGGTTTAGGACCAGGTAGCATTTCATTCCGTGGTGCCTGGGGTCGCCATGAGTCAAAGGCTGACTCAAATGGCTGTTAATGACAACAACAAATGCAAACACAAAGCCTGGGCTCCTGGGTCACCTTTTATCCTCCTGTGCTCTGGCCTTGCTTAGAGGCTTAGAGGCTTAGAGACCGACATCCTTTCCCCCTGACTTCTCATAGGCATCTCCAGCGTGACTCTTCTGCCAGGGTTCCTGATGTTTATTTCCTCTGTGGTCTTGTCTCCCACCTGCTTCCCCTTGAACCTAACATCTGGTGGGCTGTTTAAGTTTGAGAGAGGCAGGTGGATAATTTTCATTTCTTTGAACAACTCGTTAAATTGTCTGTCCCAGCTTGGATAGACTCCTCCCAGAGTTGCTGTGGTATCTTCTTCCATAGGGATGAGAGCTTTGGTTCCTGACATTTATAGAGTACTAAGAGTGCAGGCTTGGTACATTTGTGTTTGTTTCCTTCTCGTCTCTGTCTCTGAGGCAAATTCTCTCGCCCCTGCTGACCCTCACACTTTGTAGCATTCATCAGTGGCAGCCTGATTTCCCCTCAGTCATTTTCTGGATTTCTAGTCATTGTTGTAGAACTGTTTATCCCTATTTGGTTTTCCTGTTCATTTGCTCTGTTCTGTGTTGAGATGAAGCTTTTCTCTTTAACTCATCATATTTTCTTCACTTTGAAAGGAGACTAAGAAGTAAGAATTTTTCTTCTTTCAGTGTAGAAGCTGTTTCAAATTTCTTCCTATACTAATGCTTATACAGCACCTTTGGAAAGATTGCTTTTCTTGTCCAAATAGAGATGGAAGCATATGTTTTCATACTGAGCAATGCAAATTTGTGAGCACGTTAGAAACCGTTTCTTATCTGGTTACCCTTCAAAATCTGTCCTTCTTAGATAACATAAAATAGGCAATGATCCAAATAAATTTTTTTGAAAGCAATACCAAGCTTAAAGGAGAATGTTAACTTAAAAATATCATAGGTAACATGTTACTCTCTAAATATACTATAATGATCAGTTTTTCTTTTCAGTTTGTCAACTGCAATTTAAAAATTAATTATTGTTACTTACATAGAGGTTCAAAAAATTTGCTGTTCACATAATGAGTTGGCCAGTGTATTACAATGAAATGTTTTTCAAAGCCTTCAGCCAATCCAAATGAAATGCGTAGCTTTGAATAAAATAGAAAGGTTCCCTGGGCCCCAAGGGTTAGTGCTTTGCAAATTATTTACATGTCATCCTAGTGTGCTTATTTATTTATTTATTTTACCAACTTACTGGTCGTTGGCTAAACAAAGTATTGTTCTCTGTCAGTTTTCATATGCCATAAATATAGTCTCAAGGGTTAGTGGCTATGAAGTGAAAATTTAAAGAAATGACTGCTGAGAAGGAAGTTGTTTTTATAACACATTCTATGGCTTTTTCATTCGGCTTTTGTATTTTTCGTTCTTTGACATTTCCATCATGGGAGTGTTTTGTGACATGTAACCAGATTTGATTCCTAGTTAAATACTAGGACAAGGATCCCAATAGCAAATGGTCATTAGATGTATGCAGAATATGCTTCTTTATTGTTTTTTTAGCCTTTGTATACAGTTTGAGGTCAGTGCTTGCTTCACATACACTTAAGCGTGGATGTAGTAGTTGTCTTTTGCACCTTTTGAGCTGAACCCTTCTCTAAGCTACTGTAATGTGTTTGTTCTACTTGACAGAGTTGATGTCATGTGAAGAGCTATATTCTATATTACACTTGGTGCTCCAGGCTGGGAATATCATGAATGCAGTGAGTAAAATTTAAAAAAATATGTTGTGTTTTCAATTTTGGTATTTGTCTGTCTAAAGGTATCTCTTGATTTATCTTTTTCAGGGAGGGTATGCTGGCAATGCTGTGGGATTTAAACTGTCTTCTTTGCTCAAATTGGCAGACACAAAGGCAAACAAACCAGGGATGAATCTTTTGCACTTTGTGGCACAGGTATGTGGAAACGATTACTACAGAGAGAGAATGTGTGTGACTCCTCCTTGGAGATGGTGAAGTTTTTCCCAGACATAAGTAAGGTGGCATCAAGCAGAGTTAGGAAAGGGCTTGGTGTGTTCCAAAAAGGATCTGTTTGTAGAAGCACTGTTTACACATTCCTGAGTTGAGTGGTGCCTTGGGTTATAGGAGCAGAGAGAAGTAGAGGAGATGGAGAGTGGGGAAGAGAGATTGGTGGAATTAGATTATGATCGACTCACGTGCCAAAGCTGAACAACTTGGATTTCATGTTTTAGCAACAGGGAGTCAATAGAAATTTGTGCATGGCATAATGGCATGACCAGGTTTGTTTTTTTGTGTTTAGGAGTGAGGCAGCATGGAAGATGGGTTGGAGTAGAGAAAGAACTAGAAATATGGATACCACTCAGTAGAAATTGGCTCTTATTATTTGATGACTGTGAGGAGTGTAATGGCCATAGAGATGCAGAGGAGAGGAATGTTTATTAAGATTTTAGGAAGTCAAACTGACTAGATTTGTGGCCAGTTAGAGGTAAAGAGTGAGGAAATCAGAGCAATTAAAAAGATCACGTCCTTCTTTCGTCAGCCATGGACAAAGTTATATCTTTATTGTTAAATTAAATTGTCTCAAATAACTTATTGTACTGATTTTTTTCTTTCTGTCTTCTTGGAATCAGCTTGTTTTGACATCCATCATGTAAACAGAGCTTTAATTTGGGAAGGAAGTGGTGCTAGATGGGTGTTACGACTATGAGCTTTAGAATGAGACAGGACTGGAGGCAGATTTCGACTTGTCCTTTATTAGCTGTGCTGTTCTCAGACAAAGAAAGTTAAGCTTTAAGACCCTCAATTTCTACCTCTAATAATGAGGATAGGGTACTCCCAGTTACTGTCCAACTGACTCTGACTCATGGTGATCCCATGTGTGTCAGAGTAGAACTGTGCTCTATAGAGATGTCAGTGGCTGATTTTTCAAAAGTAGATTGTCAGAAGTATATGTGAACTGCTGTATGGAAAGTGAATTTGCTCTGTAAATCTTCACCCAAATCACAATTAAAAAAAAAAAAAAAAGTAGATTGTGAGGTCTTTATTCCAAAATATCTCAACTACCAACTCAAACCACCAGCCTTTCAAGTTAGCAGCCCAGCATGTTAATCATTTGCACCACATAGGGAGGGACTTCAGGGGAGAGTGATACCTTCCTAAAAATAAAGTAATTGAGAGGGCTGAAGGAGATAACTCCAAAAAGTGCTTACTTAGCTCAATGTTTGGGCTATAGCAAGCTCTCCATAAATAATAAGTACTATTATTGCTTCAGGGAGCTTCTGGTGGCGTAGTGCCTAAGGCATTTGACTGCTAACCAGAAGGCTGGGGATTCAAACCCATCAGCCACTCTACGGAAGGAAGACTGGGCAATCTACTTCTGTAAAGATTTACCACCTCAGAAACCCATGGGGGTCTCTGAGTCGAATCAACTCTGTGGCAGTGAGTTTGGTTTTGGCTTATTATTGCTTCAGAATAATCTTCAAAGACGGAAGACAGGTTTCACTCAGTGCTTAACTGACAAGTTAATTTGCAGAACATGAAAACATGGAGTGTGTTTCCTTATCCAGAGTGGATTGCAGATATTTCTCTGGCAGAGCTCTTTGAGATCCATGTATCCAGTCACTCTGTGTCACTTGGTTCCTGCCCATCAAAAGTTTCCTTAGTTAGTAATTGCTCCCCTCTCACCTGCCTTCCTCCTCTCACCCTCTGAATGGGTGAAGAATCCAAGCACCTTCATGGCAAATGCACCTTCTGATTAAACTCGGCTAGAAAACTGGTTTAGCAGCTGAAGGTATCTCAATCATGTTAAAGGCATACTTGTAGGTATGGGTGGTATTTAAGCAGGATATATTGGATTCTCTTAGAAACAATGGGCCCTGCTAAGCTGCCACCTCCTTCCATTGAGTTTTAATGCACATGAATTGTATTTCAAGTCAGAAGAAATTGCTCTGGGAAGTTAAATGCATCTTGAGAGTAGGAGAGTTCTGGTAAATCTTACTAAGAATATCAGAGTTCATGTCTCAGTGAATTGCTTTGAATACATCAGCCATAAAAATGGGAACAGTGATTTTAAGTCTCCTTCAGGCCCTAGGAAAATTATTTCCTTCCAATTTTCTTCATTAGTGATAAAATTCTGTTTTTGTTCCAGGAAGCCCAAAAAAAAGATGTCATTCTTCTAAACTTTTCAGAAAAATTGCATCACGTTCAGGAGGCTGCTAGGTAAGCAAGAAAGACTGACAATGAATTGTGAATATTCAAGAGTTTTTCAAACTGCCTTCTTATGACAACTCAAGAATATTTACAAGCTTTTTGATTCAAGTTGTAACTTTAAAAACTTGTTGAAGTTTCAGGTCTTTTCATTGGCTTATGGAAGTGTGTGTGCACCTTTGAATTTGAGGGGTTTGAAAAATTAATCTTTGTTTTTAGTCTTAAAAAATATTGCAGCCTATTCTAATGAGTATCATCAGTGTGAAAAAAATATGGATTAAAAACTTCAAATCCCTCCCCACCCAAAACATAGAGCTCTAACAACACAGCCTATTACTTTGGAGTTCTTATGCATCACTTCTAGGGCCATAAATCACTGTTTCCTTGTAGAACCTAACATGGTACATTTATTTTCTATTGCATTAGAAGGAATTGGAACCATATCAAGAGCTGTGAAAAGATTTCTTTTTAAATTAGTCACTGACCTCTACAGAGAAAGTATCTACTAAACATAAAGCTCTATTTATATCACTCTAATTTGTTTCTGATCATAATTAACATGTATTTTAATGTAGTTACAGCCTATGGATATTTGCTATTTTGAGTTCTGCTTTTTAAAATTTACAATACATAGCCACTGTTCAGTGTCCACTAACTCTCTCCTGGGGGGGTGGGGGGCAGGGAGCCCTGATTCGTAGCATTTGCTAATTTCCATGATGTAAATACTGCTACTGTGGCTCATTTCAAGCTGTCAGTGTGATATTACTGAATGCAGAGGTAGGAAGAGATACCTATAGTTGGCTTTTGTGAGTTGGCTTCAGCCCACAAAATTTCATGTATCAACTCACTTCATATGTTTTTTATTTTGAGCATCTACACAAAGTCCTGGTAGATATAAGCCATATGCAAATAGGAACGATTTTTAAATCTTCCCTTTGTCATTGGCCAGAAACCAAAACCAGTTGCCATCAAGTCAGTTTAGACTCATGGCAACCTCATGTGTGTGAGAGCAAACCTGTGCACCCTATGGTTTTCATTGACTGACCTTTTAGGGAGTAGATTGCCAGGCCTTTCTTCCAGAGTGCCTCTGGGTGGACTTGAACTGCCAACCTTTTAGTCAGTAGCCAAGTGTGTTAACCATTTGCTCCACCCAAGGACTCCATTGTTGGCCACAGTCTCATTATTAGTGACTCTCTACACATCTAACCAGATTACATGTCTGAACCAAAGTGGGATTATCATTTCCAAGGTGTATGGAGTTCAAAATTCATGTTTATAGATGATCAGATTCTTCTCCAAAAAGAATGGGCATCTTATAAGATATAAACTATTTTGTTTTTTAATTACTAAAAGAAATGTATATAAGAATATTATTACTCTGCCTAGTATAGAAATATTACTAGAGCCATATTGAGAGAAATAACCATTGAAACTCTTTAAACTTACATTTCTGGTTAGAATTAGTTGGGAAAGTTTAGCTACAGGTTCTCTTAGAAAAACTCTTAATAAGTTTTGCTTGTTTGAAAGGTAGGGTAAGTACAAACAGATCACAGATGGGTGCCAATAACCAGTGAAGGTGGAAAATGTTTTTGTACAAAGGAAAATAACATTGACAATGGGAGCATGAAAGCATCTTAATTTATGAATTTGCTAACTGAATTTCACTGGGATTTTAAGTTTCACTTGTTCACTTTACCAGGTGACAAAAATATCACTTGTGTTCTACTAATCTTGATTTAGCGTATGTAACAAAAGCATTGTCATTGATCCTACCATTTCTTTACAGAATTGTTAGTTGTGTGTTATTTCTCTATAAAATATAGAATGCTGGCTTCACTGTCTGTGGCAAGCAAGGGGACGTCGGGAGTCCCAGCATTTCTGCATCACTCTTCATATCCTGATGACCAACATATGTTGCCTTGACTTTGGTTCTTTTGAGTTAGAGCTTTCTTTTGTGTTTAGTGAAGAGAAAAGTTTCAGTCTCAGAGTCCTGCTGGCCTTTAGTTTTTAATGCTGTTCAGACCACGTTGGTGAAGATTTTTAAAAGTTGCATGGTTTTGATTATCTCAGCAGCAAGAGCACAGGTACAGCCTGCTTTCTTTGAACCAGGGTATGTCTTTAGGAAGGAATCACCTCTTAAGAAAACATAAAGAGAAGCTCACACCATCTAAGTGCAGGTAGATAAGTGTAATCATGGTAGCTCTCCCCTTCTGGTTCTGAGGTTGACCAACGATTGGTCTTTTTGATGTACCCACATGACACATGGCTTCCTTGTGCCAACTGCCCACTCTCCCCTTTCTTCTTTTAGATTATCTCTCGATAACACAGAGGCAGAGCTGCACTCACTGTTTGTCAGGACAAAATCTCTCAAGGAAAACATCCAACGGGATGGAGAACTTTGCCAGCAGATGGAAGATTTCCTTCAGGTTTGTAGGTGACTTGAGTCAATCCCTCTAATTTAATTTTCCAGCAATACCACCAAGGCTGGTTAAATTTGCATATGTGTGTTTGTGGAAGAGAAAGGTTCTCATTCATATTTTTCCCCTAAGTTAGTGAAAAAAAAAACAACTTTGTAATTTAATGCCCATTCTTTGCTGGGTGTTTTTTGTTTTTTAAAGAGGACATTGAATATTGTTTAAAACTAAGAAATTTGTTTAGGGTTCAGGCCTCTATTTATCATTGTTAATTTGCATGTTCAGCCTAGTGAACTGGTATCGGCATAGGGTGCTTTTGGTTGGTCTATGTGTGGCAACTCGAGTTTTAGTTCTTAACCACGATTTAGGAGTTCCTGTCACCCAGTCAGACTTTTGGAAAACAGAATGAAATTCCACAGAAACCTTAGACACACCTTAAAACCTGGGCTGTTGCACCTTCATTGCTTTTCATTGAAGAAACAAGCTACATCTTTGGCATGTTTTATAATGAATGTTTTATCATAGGAGCAGTAGAATGCACAATAGGTTTGTCTATCAACACCCAAATACATTAGCCCTACAGGGTGTGTCAGGAGCCATTCCGAATAACATCAACAAAAAACAGCAGAGTGAACATGTTTGTGACAGCTCATTGTGACTCACTAATTACATAGTCTGACGTACTTCTTTTATCTTCCTTATTTAAAAAAAAAAAAAAAAAGATGACACTGTCTTACACTTTTAGTCTTCAGTGAAACTGTGTGCTTCCTTACGTATTGTTAGTGCTTTGAGACTTGCAAGGTAGAATCCATGTGACAAGGCTGCCCTTGGAACGAGGAAGAAACAGTGTGCTTTGAAAGTTGTACCAACCTGAGGCTTTAGTCATAATTAGCTACATCAAAATATTCTGAGTGTTTCTGGTGACAGCAAACGTTTGATTTTGCTTTGGTTCTGCCATGAGTTGATTTTTATTATTAAACGTGTTCTGAATTTTATTTTAAATATTTCCAAATCTGATTTTCCATTTAAAGTGAGAAGTTTTTTTTTCACAATGTGAAACAACACACCAAGCACCACCATCACAAGCACTTAAATAGTAAGCATATTTGGGTACAGAAAACAAATTCAGAAATTCAAGAATAAGAACCATAACACATGAAGATTAGACTTCTAAATGTTTTATTTCCATAGTGCCTATAAATACTAATAATCTTACACTAAATATTAGTGCAGAAAATTTATGATTACCAGTTCTGCTCCTTAAAGGCAACATTTTCTTAGCTTTTGAAAGTCTTCCAGCAATCATTTTTATATCTCTAGATAAAATGTTTCTCAAAGCCATGTTGTTTATTTTTCTTAAGGGTTTTTTTTTTTTTTTTGAATAGGCGAGATAAAACTTTTTAAGGTTGGTTAAGGTTAGGTCATGAAGGGCTCCAGTGCCAGTTTGGAAACTTTGGGCTTTATGCTCTCAGCAGTTGGGAGCCACTAAAGGTTTGTGAGCAGAAAAATGACAGGAATTCATTTTTGTAGATCTATTTCAGTATTTTAACCCTTTGGGCAAAAAATATTTTGTGAATTAACTTGGGACCTTGGTCCCTACCAGATAGTTAGAGATGTAAAGTTGAATGTGATGCTTCAACTGTTAATCTGTTGTCATTCACATTTTGCCAGTGTAGCTTCGGACTTTTTAGTTTGTGGCCCTAATCAGGTGGAAATGGTTTAAAAACTAACTCTTAGCAAATAATTCTGAGATTGATTGTTGTTCAGGTCTATGTTTAGAATGTTTCATTTTTCCAAAGTCTAAGGGAGACTTCAGTGCCTTTAATTTTTTTTCCATCCTGGTATTCTGTCAGTCCCCATAGGATCTTGAGACATATGAGGTGGAGTTAAGCTTCCATGTAGATTCTTGTCAGGAGTCCTATTTTTCTGCAGTTGAGCTGTTCTTGGCTGGAATCCATCCTTTCCTCTGTGATAGAATGACAGGCAAAGATTTATCCTTTCATTAATACCCTTTTCTCCATAAAGAAAAATACAGCATGAATGCACACACTGCCTTGGGGCTACTGACTCAGATGGTTACTTTTTCTGGTATTTGGTTTCCTAAATAGTTTTGGTTCCTTACTACCTCTTGAATGTGTTTGGTGTTGAGAAGAGGGTTGTTGAGGGGGAAGGCGTGTTGGAGTGGGTGGGAAGTGGTGAGTCTTATCCACATTTCTCTTTAGGGTCTGTAGCTCTCCAAGCACGTTCAAGCAGTGAGCCCACTACTTGAAGGAGGCAGCCTATACCTTTACCATTTCTTGGGCCCATCCCCCTCACTCAAAAAGAAGTTTTTCAAAGATAATCTCTTTTTTTTTTAACATGATACATGAGATTTCATAAAATAAAATACTTCATACATTCCTCTTTCATACAAGCTCTATCCACCAATGAAAAAGAAAGTAACATAAGACTTGGGAGAGGGGGCTGCTGTGGCTGCTAATATGTTCCTCCCTGTAATCACCACACCTCCTCATTGCAACTCAGCATTACTACCTGTCACTGAACTGTGGTCAGAGAAGTGGCTTTGTGAACCTTGAATATGGTAGGTCTCCATCCTAAAAGGGTTGGGAACTCCTTGGAGGAAGGCAAGCTTCTTTGATTCCCACTTCTTTGTGAAGGCAGAACCAGAATCTACAAGGACCTTTAGGACCTATTTATACTTGAAGAATTGGAAAAAAACAAAGAATTACAGGGAAGTAATTAATAACCATGAGTACCCATCAGAATCTTCTAAAAAGTTTTAATAAAATAACAGTGCACTCCCAACATATTAGGAGCTCTGGTAGCATAGTGCCTAAGGCACTTGACTGCTAACCAGAAGGCTGGCAGTTCAAACCCACCAGCCACTCCTCGGAAGGAAGGTTGGGCAATCTACTTCCGTAGTGATACCTCCTCGGAAACCCAAGGGGGAGTCGCTATGAGTTGGGTCCAACTCAACGGCACATAATAACAACCAAACCTGTTAAGCTGTGTGGGTGGGGTACAAGCATGTGATTATTGAAGAAGCTTCCTTGCTGACTTGGAGCAGGAGCTTTGGTTAAGAAGCCTTGGCTGGGATATTAGTTTAGGCACCTGGGCTTTAGCCCTTTGGGAATAATGCATGATCCTGATATGCCCATTCAGGGTTAAGTTTAAACACCCATTCACCCTGGCAAAAATGACAGTTTGTCAATTAGATAAGTGACTTCACCACGCCTCCTCATTGCAACTCAGCATTACTACCTGTCATTGAACTGTGGTCAGAAAAGTGGGTTTGTGAACCTTGAATATGGTAGGTCTCCATCCTAAAAGTGTTGGGAACTCCTTGGAGGAAGGCAAGCTTCTTTGATTCCCACTTCTTTGTGGAAGCAGTAGGAAAACCAAACCCCAAACCCGAAGCCATTGAGTCAGTTCTGACTCATGATGGGCCCATGCATTACAGAGTAGAACTGTGTTCCATCAGGCTTTCTTGGCTGTGATCTTTACAGAGGCAGATTGCCAGGCCTTTCTTTTGCAGTACTGCTGGGGGGGGTTTGAATCAACAACCTTTAGGTTAGTTGGGCACAAACCAATTATACCACCCAGGAACCTTTGGCCAGTGGAAGGCTTCAGTTCTAAGAGAGAGAAGAACAAATTGAGAGTGGATCACCCTTAATAAAAAATAAAAAAACAGCTGTATGCCTATGTATTTTTTTCAATGACATTAAAGATAAAGATTTTGTGAGTGGCATTCTATAGTTAAAACTCTTAAATCTATTTTGTGGCTTCTAACCTTCACACAGAAGAGGTTCACCTTTCTTCCTTGAGGTTTTGTTTGGGTTGAATTATTTTCCTTTTGGCATTGAGTGTACTGGTCTCACAATAAGCCTGCCTTTCTCCGAGACCTGAAATTGAACCCAGGGAACATGTCTTCCCAGGCACCAGACAAAACACCAAGTGCCCCATCCACTGACCCTGTTTACCTCAGTGTGTGCTTATTTGTTTTCTCTGCAGTTTGCTGTCGAAAAGCTGACAGAACTGGAGCACTGGAAACAAGAGCTTCAGCGTGAGGCCCACACCCTTATAGATTTTTTCTGTGAAGACAAAGAAACCATGAAACTGGATGAATGTCTTCAGATATTTAGAGACTTCTGCACCAAATTCAACAAAGCAGTTAAGGTATGGCTGATGACACCTCTCTCTTTTCACAGTTGTTTGGAATTTTCTTTTTCTTCTTCCTGACTCATTCCTCTGCCCATGGCAGAAAGATGGTTCAACATTTCCATGCTCTAAGGAAATTCTGGCCCAGGTGGCATTGCCAGGCTCTGAACTGGGATTACAGGGAAGCAGCTCTGCCTTCCCAGCCCCAAGGCTTCCATGGCATCAGGAGTCTGGCATTTGGCTGCCTTAGATACTTTGCTGCTTATACCAGCTCTCTGGCTAATTCCCAAAAAGAATTTTGTTAGTAGAGTTTATTTATGAAGGCAGCAATAATATCTAAAGATTTCTTTGAAGATCATGAGTATCTTTCTCACCTGCCTCTCCAGAGGAGAATTTCCTCTTTCAGGGAGACTTGTTGCAACGGGGTGATTGGAAAGCCGTCTCTCCCGTTTTGAGTGTCATGACCGTGGTGTGGTCTTAGCACATGGGAGCCAGAGCCACTGACAGCTTCACACACAACAGGCACTTTTCTTGCCCTTCGATCACCCCACCCCAGTGATCTCTGAGTTCATGGCGGAAGCCAGAAAACTCTCTGGGTTGCTTGATACCGCAAACAAAATGCTTACCTGCCTATTAAAAACAAAACAAAATAACTCACATCCCTTCATTTCAGGTGATGAGGAGGAACCAAATACTAGAGGGTTCTCTGCCCCATGTTTAAAGTGCCGATCTGTCCCTAGCAGAATTTCTTTTAGGACTGTCCACTTTCCCTCGAGCCTGCAGTAGCCCAGAATTACTTTGAGTTCTCTATTCTCCTTTCTCCATTCAGCTCAAAGAAAGAGGCCCAGCCTGTAGCCACGTTTACACTCCTCTCTCCAAGCAGTGAGCTCAGCTGGGGAGTCGGCCGTGGCCTGGTAGAGGCCAAGTTGGCTCTGCTGAGGTCCTCACTCCCAGTCAGAATTCTGCAGGCCAACGAGGCCACCTGCATGATGCTGTCAGCACAGCTGTCCTGAGAGCCAGGAGTACCCCACCCCCCACCCCAGGCCTCCTTGAAAGCAGGGGCCTGAGAGACTCAGGGAGGTTTGAGGAGGCTAGAGATACAGGAGGAGCCAAGAGTCAGAGGAGAGAATCCTGGCCAGGAGAGCCCAGCCAGAGCCTCACAGAAACTTGGAAGGGAAATTCCACCATTTGAGGAAATTGATCTTCAAGTAAAAAGTGCTAGTGATAAGAGATTTGGGTTGTGAAAGCCATGCATTTATGTGACACAAATATATTGAAAGTGCAATAAAGTCTGCTTTTGGAGTGTGTGCTTGTTTGGGGTCAGTTTTGCTGGGGAGGGGTGGGTGCTTTGGAGAAGAGCGAAAGGTAGAGGGATTTGTAAAGCACACCTGCTCCTCTTCCTCTTCTCTGATTATGGGAACAGAGGCGTGGCCTAGGGTGGGATATGAAGTTAGCTCCTCTGCTGGGGTGGGCAGCTGGCAGAGCCACCTTAGCATTTGTGGTGTTTGTTTACCAGACAGCAGAGAACAGGGCTTTGAAAGGCATCTCTTACCATCTTGGGTATAACTTTGTGCATCCAAATCATTGTTAAGTAGAATGTACTGCACATAAGCATGCATGTGTGTGCACACATGTCCATGCAACACGTAAGTAAAATTTTAACACCTTTCTAACATCCATTGTGTTTTTCCTCTCTAAATCATTGCCACTGAGTCAATTTCAACTAATAGTGATCCCTGTTGGGCTTCCAAGGCGGTAAATCTTTACAGAAGTAGATTGCCCTGTCTTTCTTCTGTGGAGCAGCTGGTGGGTTTGAATCGCCAACCTTCTGGTTATCAGTCAAGTGCCTTAGGCACTGTGCTACCACAGCTGTCTAAATAGCAAATGCACTTTCCTGGAAGTTCTCTCTGTCTTGCTCTACTTAGAAACCAACTTGAGCTTCCTTGGAGTTGAAGCACCAAGCATATGTGGAGTCACAGACCACACCAAGGGGAGAATGTCTTGACTGGAAAGCTGAAAGTTGGGTCCAGGAGCTCAGATGGCAACATGAGACAGATGGTTGGGATGGGCCTACTGTGCTTCTGCAGTCAGATCCCCAGGTAGCTGTGGGAGAACTTACCCCTTCCTGCACACACACGTGTGCAGAAGTACACGTACTCTCAGTGAAGAACACGGCCCAATTAGAGCAGGATGCCATATCCCCCTCTCTGCCTGCGCCTCTCACTGTAGTCATAGGGCACGTGGCTCCCACATAGCTCATGCATCTCTGGGTTTCTCTCCACCTTCATTCAGGACAACCGGGACCGAGAGTTGCAGGAGCTGAGGCAGCTGCAGCGACTGAGGGAACTGGAGCAGAAGCGACGTTCCTGGGCAGCAGGGGAGCTCGGGGGGTTTGGCCGGAGCAGCAGTGAGAATGACGTGGAGCTGTTGACCAAGAAGGGTGCAGAAGATTTGCCCCCTTTCCTGCAGCCGAGGTCCATCAGCCCCTCCTACCGGCCTCCCAACACCCGCCGCTCCCGCCTCTCCTTGGGCACCTCTGCTGACCGGGAGCTGCTGACCTTCCTGGAGAGCTCCACTGGTAGCCCAGAGGATCCTACCAAATCTAACAGCTTGCCCCGGAGCAGCACCCGGCAGGCCCAGCCCACAGTAGCCTGGATGGAGCCTGGAGACCTCAATTCCAACCTTGCACACAGACCTCAGACCTTGGGGGGCCAAGAGGAGGCCTCCAGACCACCCTCAGTTTGGCAGAGCCAGCTTCCAGCCCCATTGCCTGAGGACCTTGGCTCTGCCTTCCCCCGAGCACGGCGAGGTGGAGTCAGCATCCTGCGGAAGAGGAACAGTGAGCCAGTGGGCCTGGGTCCAAGCCGGTCTCCGCCACTCTCACCGCTGGCTCTAGGGATTAAGGAACATGAGCTGGTAACAGGGCTGGCCCAGTTCAACCTCCAGGGCTGCAAAGGCCTGGAGGAGATGCCCCAACTGGCTGTGAATAATGTCAGCCCTGTGGAACTAACCTCTTTGCAGGATGGGAGCCTGCAGTCCCTTGGTAGTGGCAACTGCAGCCTGACCCCTGGTGACAGAGGTTCCTGGGAGGGTCTTGGTCCAGCCCTGGAAGATGGCAGGGCTGCCGCTGACCAACCCGGCAGTGTGGCTGTGGTGTCTGTGGGTAACAATGACCCTGAGAACAAAGATCCGGGGCCTCTGTTCTACATCTCGGACACCACTGACTGCTCTCTGACTCTGGACTGCTCAGAGGGGACTGATTCCAGGCCTGGGGGTGGGGACAGGGATGGCTCTGTGTCCTCTGGGGCTGGGGAGATGGGGGGCAGCCAGGTCTCCAACCCTACTTCCAGCCCCCCTGGGGAGGCCCCTGTTTCTGTCTCCCAGAAGAGTATGCCCAGCTGCAAGGGTGGCCTTCCCCGGGACAGAACCACGAAAGGTAAAGATGTGGCAGTGCCAAAGAGAAGTTCCCTCAAAGAGGTCTCCCCAGGGGCCTCCAAGCCTGGCAGCATTCGGAAGAGCCAGGGGTCAGTGTCCAAGCCGGTGCGAACCTTGAACTCCTCTGAGAACGAGAGTATGCGGAAGGTTGTGCCCATATCCAAGTCAAGCAGGGGGCCTGGGAGCTGGAAGCGGCCTGAGCAGCCATCCCGGGTACCCCCCCGGGAGACCCCCAGTAGCACAGACACATTGTTGCGCCGGAGCTCTGTGCGAGGGCCCTTGGACACCTTGCCCAGGAGGCCCTCCTCAGGGGCCGAGGCCACTGTGCGGGAGGAGCAGAAGCTGCAGCGGGTCAGCAGTGGCTCTGGTAGCACCCGTCTGCTAAGGGAGCCCCTCTTGCAGCACCGGAGCGCTCTCAAGAAGCCCAGCGCCAAACCCCTCAGGAATGTGCCCAGGCAGAAGCCTGAGGAAAATAAGATCTGTCGCTCCAACTCCCAGGGTCCTGAGACCCCTGAAGAAGAGCCCAAGACTCCGCCAGCCCCTACCCTCCCTCGTGCCCCAGCCCCTGTCCCCAACTTTGCCCGAAACACGGTGGCCTCCTCATCGCGGTGCACGAAAACAGAATCCTCTCCTGTGACCAAAGCCCCTGGCATCACTCGGACAGTCTCACAGCGGCAGCTGAGGGTCAAGGGCTGCCCTGAGGATGCCTCTCCCAAGGACAGCAGCACCCTGAGGCGAGCTAGTAGTGCCCGCACCTACAAAAAGTGCCCAGAGTCTGCTGAGAAGCCCAGTGCCAATACAGGGTCCCCTCTGAAGGGCAGAGGGGCCGGGGAGAGGGCCTCCCTCAGACTGAAAGACTCAAATCGGACCACACTGGGGAAGATACTGAATCCCTTGTGTAAATGATTTGTCGTGTCCTGGGGTCTGGATGGTGTGGGAAGTTTCTGGGATGAGGGCAGGGAAGAAGCCAACACTGGATGTCTTTGTTCCACATAGAGCAATCCTCTGGTGCCACTTGCTAATGGTCTTGTCACTAAAGGTACAATCTTGGAGGCGCATAGACTCTGGCCTGCTGTGTTGACTCCTGCTGTAAAATCCTAAGTCTGAATGTACGTTTACTACTGTGATGGAACAGCATCTCCCTCACACACGCACAATGGTTTGCAGGTTGAGGGTGTGTATGAGCGAATCCCCCTCGTCCTCTGGCTCGGAGAACAAAGATCCAATGAAACACTTGGAGTGTAGATGGCATTCTTATGTAACAAGTAAAAAAACATTTTTGGCCAGTTTTTATATATCAAAGACTTATTTTAATATTATGAAAACTTATTAGTTGGTTTCTTTTCCAGAGTGAAATGCTTCCCAGGGGGGTAAAAATATGCTTCATATGAAGATATTTCAATCTGCCTTTGTTCCCTGGCCTCAGGATCCCACCTGCCCTCACGCCACTGTCATCTGTTGGCAGCTGGACTTCCCTGCAAGCCCTTGAGGGTTCTGTGGTCAGCTCCATCTCTTTGAAGAATTACTGGCCTGCTCATTTCTCTTTGTGTAACTTTGGGTGAAGGTTCTGCGTGTGAACAGGAGGGGAAGTTGGGCTCTAGGAGCAGAAATTGGACACTCCCTCCTATGTGGTCAAGGCAAGCACTGTGGACAGAGGAGGAAGAGCCACGTAGGTTATGAAGTTGGGGTTTCCAGATGCCCAGGGCCTCTAGCTGCAGGACAGGCCTCACCTGGAGACAGGGGACAGCCCCTAGTAGAATGTTGGGTTTTCCAGAATTTAGAAGTGCTGTATTTTAATGGAAGGCATCTGTGGCGGTTCATCTGAGCACATCTCGCCCAGTGCATGGCTTCGCATCTGTTGTAAAACTCAGAAGGCTGCTATGGCTTGTGTTCACTCTGTTTACAGGGGAGGATAAACCTTGTCTCCCAGTCTTCTCACCTCTCCTCCTCCTCCTCTCTTCTCTTTGCCTCTACTTAGCCCTTCTTTTCTAATGTGACCTGGAGCTAGGGACTGTCTTTCTGTCCTAACCATTATATGCTTCAATGTTGGCATCTGTTCCTTGGTACCAAAAAACCCAAACCTGTTGCAGTTGAGTTGATTCTGACTCATGGCAACCCCATGTGTTACAGAGTAGGACCACTCTATAGGATTTTATTGGCTAAAACCTTTATGGAAGCAAATGGCGAGGCCTTTATTTCAGGGTGCCACTGTGGGTGGGAGTTTGAAATGTCAGTCTTTCAATTAGAGAGCAAACCCTTTACATCACTCAGGGACCTGTTCCTTGGTATGTTGTTAGGTGCCATCGAGTCAGCTCCGACTTATAGTGACCCTTTGTACAATAAGAGGAAACACTGACCAGTCCTGTGCCATTATCACAATCCTTTGTATGCCTGAGCCCATCATTGCAGCCACTGTGTCAGTCCTTCTCATTGAGGATCTTTCCCTTTTTTTTTTTTTTGCTGACCCTCTGCTTTACCAAGCATGATGTACTTCTCCAGGAAATGATCCCTTCTGACAATGTGAGCAAAGGTGAGATGAAGTCTGACCATTCTTGCTTCCAAGGAGCATTCTGGCTGCACTTCCTCCAGGACAGATTTGATCGTTCTTCTGACAGTCCTTGGTATGATGGTTTTTAAACCCTAACAAAAGCCAAATGAAATTTTTAACAGACAAACTTTAAAAAAAAAATAGCCCTTAGATGAATTTATATCATCAGGAAAAATTAAGAAGAAGTCAGGCTTCCTTCAAAAGGAAAGGGAAATTGCACTTCTGCTACCCAATAACCATTTTACTACTTCCATCTGAAAATAACTGGGAAGTGGGAGAAACTTTTTGTTTTTTAAAAGTTGCCCTTTTCCCCCCACTTTTGTTCATTTATTGGTAAAACTTCATTTTAGATCCAACAATGGTAGAGAGATTTAGGCAAATATGATATATTTGTGGTGAATTCATGTGATCAACACCATGACTTCTGTCCTATAGAATGTTGCCTTCCATCTAAATTAGTTGGAAACGTTGAGCAGCCATAAATCAGCTAAATAGAAAAAGTAAACTCTGTTGGTGAAGAGGTAAGGCACTTGATCACAAAACCTCTTGTAGAATAGCCTTGGGTATTTCCACCACCTGAATAAACCTAAGGATTCATATATTCAACCAGATGGACAAAAACTTGGAAAACATAAGAGTCCATGAGTGGTGGGAGATGAATGAGTGAGTTGGTAGGTTTGTGGATTTGTAGATAGTGAAAGGGTGGGGTGCCACTCCACTGCTGATGCTATGGGACTTTGGCAAGTCACTTCTTCTCGGCAAGCCTCTGTTTTCTAGTCTACAGAAGTAGGGGCCCCTCAATGATTGTGTGCAAGGGCCCTTCCAGCTCCAAGAGTCCAAGTCATCTATTCCTCTGCCCTGAGTCAGCTTCTCAGAACCAACCCCTAGCATCTTTAAAGCAAAAGCCTTATTTAAAGGCCTGCTCAGAAGAAAGCACTTTCAGAATGAGTTGTTGCTTTAAAACCTAATAATAAGCTGAGTTTCCCGAGAAGTGGTCTTTTACTTAGCCCTGTGTACAACTTCTGTGTGTGCATCTGTGTGAGCAGGTGATCATTTTATTACCTTTTATTGGTAGTAAGCTTGGAAAATAATTTAAGTATATAAAATGGATAAATGTAAATAAGTTTCTATATAAATTTGTTTAAGATGAACCGAACGTATTTAATGGTCCATTTATATGTTCTTTTACATAATAAGAATTTTAATAAAGTTCCTGTTTATGGGAGTTGGGTCTTATCCTCAGCTTTTTCTGTTGTTATGCTTGTATGATCCTGGCATGAGATTATTTCATTTCCTGCACAGAGGGAAGATGGGATGTAGAAGGTGCAGAAGGGTTGAGATACAGAAGTCTTGTCCTCAAATGGACTAAGAGCCAAAGTGAGGTTCTTGATTCTTTGTCTCCTTAGTAGCACAGAACCTGCATTAGACTGGGGGTTTTGGGAGGGGACCCAGTGTCCAAGCAGTGGGAATGCAAGCACGCATCCAACGCACAGTCCTCAGTGGAATGTTCAGCACCCTGTGCACACTCACTTTATTCCATGTTTGGGGCCAAGTTTTGTGTAATCTCTGTGGGGCCGGCAAGTCTGGATCTGCTCCTGTGTGTCCTCATGAGTTTTGGCTCAGGATGTGATTGGGAAATAGCAGCTCACCTCCGTTGCTTGCTCAGGAATGAACAAGAGGGAGGGAGATGTCGTTTTATTTGAAATGCAATATTGGCCCTTGAAAAGAAAGGGGGATTGTGTATTAAGATGTGCCTCAGACCTCCAGGTTTCCATATCAACTTTTAGTCCTAGCTACTCTCCTGCTATATTTAAAAGTAGATTAGAAGAATATCATGGGGTCAGTGGGTTTCCTGACACCAATGGATGAGAGTGTCAACAATGTTGTGAGTAGCTGTGTGTTTCCTGGACACTTGGAACCTGATCTTGCCTGTGCTATAAGTAATTTGGGACAATAGACCTCTCCCCATACCTTCTTCTCAGCAAACTTCTGTTCCCCAGTCTACCGAAGTAGGGGCACAAGAAAACATGAATAGACACTAAACCAAAGAGGATATTCAGGCAGCCAACAAACACATGAAGAAATGTTCATGATCATTAGCCATTCAAAACCAAAAAACAAACTCACTGCCACTGAGTTGGATCCAACTCATAGCAACCCCTTCTTGGGTTTCCAAGGCCGTATCACTGTGGAAGTAGATTGCCCAATCTTCCTTGGGCTGGTGGGTTTGAACCGCCAGCCTCTTGGTTAGCAGTCAAATGCCTCAGGCACTATGTCACCTAGCCATTACCAAACTCACTGCCATTGAGTCAGTTCCGACTCACAGCGATCCCTTCTTGGGTTTCTGAGGCAGCTGGATCTGACTCTACCACAGTGAGTTTGGTTTTACCTTGCCATTGTGTTGTTGTTGTTGTTATGTGCTGTCGAGTCAGCCCGACTCATAGCGACCCCTCCTTGGGTTTCCAAGGCAGTATCACTACAGAAGTAGATGGCCTCATCTTCCTTCTGAGGAGTGGCTGGTGGGTTTGAACCACCAGCCTTCTGGTTAGCAGTCAAGTGCCTTAGGCACTACGCTACCAGAGCTCCCACCTCGCCATTAGAGAGATGCAAATCAAAACAACAACGAGATACTATCTGGCCCCAGCACTAATAGCAAAGTTCAACAAGACAGAAAATAACAAATGCTGTTGAGAATGTAGAGAGATTGAGACTCTCATACACTGCTGGTGGGACTGTAAAATGATACAACCACTGTGGAAAACAGTATGGCAATTCCTTAAAAAGTTGGAATTAGAAATACCATTTGATCCGGCAATCTCATTACGAGGTATATATCCTAAAGAAGTGAGAGCCAGGACAAGAATAGATATATGCACACCTATGTTCATCACAGCACTATTTACAGCAGCAAAAAGATGGAAACAATGTAGGTGCCCATGAACAGAAGAATGGATAATCAAACTATGGTACATACACACAATGGATTACTATGTGACACTAAAGAATAAAAAGTGGAATCTGCAAAACACTGCATAACATGGATGAACTTGGAGGACATTACCAAAAAAAAAAAAAAAAACCAAACTTACTGCCATCAAGTCAGATCTGACTCACAGCGACCCCCCTCCTTGGGTTTCTGAGGCAGTATCACTACGGAAGTAGATTGCTCAATCTTCCTTCCAAGGAGTGGCTGGTGGGTTTGAACTGCCAGCCTCTGGTTAGCAGTCAAATGCCTTAGGCATTATGCCACCAGAGCTCCTTGGAGAACGTTATGCTGAGTCGATCACAGAAGGAGAAATATTGTATTAGTTCATGTGGTAGTTAAGTTTGTGTGTCAACTTGGCTAGGCCTAGTTGAG